CAAATTAATTTATTCTAATACTTAAAATTTGAGGTACTATATTCTAACAATTGCTGATTTTTAGTAGATGTGGATACAGGCTCAAATAAATATATATATGTATGTATGTATATGTATGTATATATATATATATATATGTATATGTGTGTGTGTGTATGTTTATGTGCACCTACACCTGCATTAATACTTGGTATTAGCTGTTCTTGGCAGAACTGGCAGGGAATATGAACTGATTGAGATGTCCAATATTATCCTAGTTTCAACCATTTTATGCAAACTGTCCATGAGGACATTTGATAAAGAAGTTAAGGAAAATGCCACGAAACGCAAATGATTAAAAGTGACAGAGGATCAGCATTGCTTATAATGCTTATAATTGATATGATTATCACTATGAAGTTTTGCCTGCTAAGGAAGAATTGCCTAGTCCAAGATAAACATTCACATTTTAATTTGGAAAAATGTTACATGGTAAGACCGGATAAAAATGGGTACAACGCTTGGAGGAGTGTGGTTTATGTTTTAAAATGAATTTATTTACTGTCAATCGTGGTGGTAGCATCATGCTGTGCCAGTGGAGCAGGGGAAGTTTACATGGATATAAACATGGAAAAAGAAAAACTATCCAAGTTAAATTTCATACAGATCAGAAAGTGGGTGTTTTACTTGGTCAATGATCTTTTCCAAACCCCTAACCTCAACTCCATTTGGCTTTGGTGGATGTCAAAGCAGTCAGGTTAAGAAAACACTAGCAAGGAGCAAAGATGTGGCCTCTGTAGACAAAACTGGCCAAATATTAATGGGGATGTATGTATATACTTGAGCCTATATCTACAGTTTTTAATTCTTTTTGTATCAGAAAAAATCCAGAATATTCTTTATGTGGATCACTATTAGCTTCCACAAAGTGGTTGCTACCATTCCAATTTAACCTATTGCACGTGATTACGTTTTAAAAATTCTAATAAAGTTGTTTAGTGAATGATCATTCATCTCTAAAAAAGTGACAATAAATGATTTGAATTGGATGATCTGAATGTTTGCAAAGTGGAAATTGCTTTCAGACGAGTGTATATAATCTGATTGGAACTGTTATGTAACCATCATCATGAGGAAAACAGGCTTTAGTTTGAAATATTGTCATGATAATAAATTTCTTCTAAACTTCTAGTTGGTCCCTCTGTAATTAATTATGAGCCTTTAATCTGATGAACTTCAGAAGCTTTGTTAAAAGTTGTAACTAAGTTTTCTTAAAACTAATCTTACGTTTAATGTACACTTATAGTCAAAGATTTTTGTGAAACAAATATTTTGTGGTTTTAATATTTTCATTTTGGGATACTTGCATAAGATCCAGAGTGTTTATTATATAAACATATACATCAAATTAAAATAAATAGTCAATATAAGTACCTTCCACTCTAGGCAAATCCTTCAATCTTCTCTTGATCTCCGCTTGTCTAAGGAAATGTATGGAGAATGGATTCATTCATTCTCTCTGGTATACTAACTCCTAACTAATGGTGACACTTATTCTAGTTGATCAGTCATTGTTTGTGGACTTCCACTCATCTATTATATATATCTATTGGGAAATAAGCTGAAAGGAGCTTTGGTTTAAACTAATAAAGCTACTCACTTCATGCCTGATTTATGTTTGACGGATGTTGATTTAAATGCTTCATGTAGCCTTGGTCCATAAATGTCAATAACCCGACAAAAGGATTCAATGCTCATCTCAACGCCTTACACAGTCTCAGAGAGGGGCCCAAGGCTGAGAAGCAAGTATAGTGACAGGACAAAAAGGAATATTCCTGGCATTGGGCAGTTGCTTTGAAGGACAGTTCTGGTAAGCCAGATCTATAAAAAGGCAGCTTGTTTCTCTATCTAGTTAGAACAGATTAAACACCATGTTAAAACAGTATCTGCTCTCCTTTGCTATGATTCAGTATATGCTGATTTAATAAAGATCATATAACTCTTCGTTAATAAAGAATATATTTCTTTTCAAATTAAGACTGCAAACAACTGAAATCTAAATAAGTATTTTTCTCCTTAAAATTATTTCTTTTATTCTTGAATTGAGGAGGTAAGTTATACACTTTGCCAATGTAACAAGACAATTTACATTTTAAATAAGAGAAGAAAAAATAAAAAAAAATTGCACTGCCTTATTTCAAGAGCATGTTATTTTAAGAGAAAACTCCATTGGCAAATCATCTTATTCCCCTTGTCTAATCAAGGCTAAATATGCTTCACTGACATTTTCACTTATTTCAAGAATGTTTTTGCAGCGAACACCCTATGCTTTTTAAGAACTGACCACAGCTTCTAAACATTGTAAAAAACACAAGACTCATGGTTGTCGCTGCCTTTCTTTTTCTTAAAGGAGCTTCCAGAGGCCCCGAATGGTGAGGATTCACAACAAAAATTTCCATTTTTGCCCACTGTATACTTAAGAATTGAACTCTGTGCTGCCCAGTGGTGTCAAAAGTACACACATTTGTTACTTAAGTAGAAGTATAGATACTACAGTTTAAAAACACTGGTAAAAGTTGAAGTATCAGCTTGACCTCTTTACTCAAGTAAAAGTGTGTACAAATATGTGCTCCAAAAACTACTAAAGTATAAAAGTATAAATTAACCTTTAGAAAAAACAGCCAGATGCCACTATATGAATTAAAAGCTCAATTTTTTGACTATTTCGAAAAATTCTTTGAGAAAGGGCCAAGGATGAGGGAGGTCTCGTCGTTCTCCGTCTCCATCTCCGGATACGCTTTCGCCTGTGTCAAAACTTTCAGACATTTCAACATCTTTTTCCATATCCAACATTGTAGCATGGCATAGATAATTCATGCTTGCACTTTGAAGAACACCTGCTTGCTTCTGATGATTTCCTTTAACTAACCAATGAGTGTTTGCCTTATATGACTCATCCAATTACACTAGTTTTCACTAGATGTGGATGGAGCCAATGATCTGCATTGGATGGAGCACATGACGTGAAATAAATATTTATAAACATTAAACCGAAGCCAAGAGCAACGAGTATCGTTTGTTCTAAAAATGCAAGCAATAGAAAGTACAGATACTTGTGTGAAAATGAAATCAGTAAAATTCAGAGGTAGGAAGAAAAATAAGTAAAGGAGTAAAGTATAGACACCTAAAAAGTGTACTTAAGTACATTAACAAAGTATTTGTACTTCATTACCTGACTCTTCTAGTGCTGCCTGTTTCTATTAGATTAAACTTGCTAAGTGAGGTTTATTCTGTTGCAGGATGCCTGTTCTGGTTTTAATTTAGGATAAAAAAAAAACATGCTGTATTGCTTAAAGTTTTTGCTCCCTGATTTTACCTTTCCCATTAACTTTAACATTGACATTCCAATTTTAATCAATAGGGTTTGATATGAAGTTAGTTCAACTTTGCAGCATTTAGAGCTTTCACTCATCTGGGAAGGTTGAATTATTTAGGAGCAAATTTATGGGTATATTTTCCATTCTTCCAGATGCACATTTTTGAGGTAATAGACTGATATTGGACAAGAGGGTCTGCTCTATTTCATCTCAAAGCTGCCCTACAGATGAGGCCAGAACCCTGTGAAGACCATTCAAGCTTTACTATTTACAATTATTCATTATACAAATTGTAAATTGTTGTGCTAAATAAATCCCCCAGGTTGGCTAAGAGAGAAGAGAACCAGTGTTTGCGTCTCATTTTATTTTTACAACCTGTTTTGGGTCAGATGAAATTCTTCCATACCCCCACTCCATCCAATGCTGTGCAATGCCCTTGGTAGTGTATGCCTTTGGTTGCAGCTGCTCAACAATGGAAACCAATTCCTTGAACTTTTTTTGAGCTAATTTTTAAGGCCACATAAAGTGTGGAGATCTGTAGTGAATGTCTGAAAACTTCGTTAATATTATAAAATTTCATGACAGGGAATCCATGAAAACCTGCTCACAAATGTTTGTAGAAAAAGTCTCTATGCCTAGGTGGTTGATTCTGTACATGGGTGGCTGTGAAAGTGATTGGAACATCAATTATTAGGTTTTCTGTTAAGTACTTTTATAGCATAGCTATGATTTATCAAACCATGCATATAATAAATGCGAACAATCAGCACCCTGCTCTTATATATAAACATTATATATAATCTAGGACTAAGCAGCCTCAAACTTAAATAATCTCTAAAACTAAAAATGATGCTTAATTATTCCACAGTAATTAAAATAGTGCTTTTATTTAACCACATGTATTCTCTAGAAGAGAAAATCCCATGTTAAAAGTAGGGACTGTTAAAATTATATATTATAAACCTTTTTGTATATTAAACCTCTATAATTTATAATTGCAATAAAGTTAAAAAGATCCTTAGGACATTAATGCAGTTTGCTAATTCATTTCCAAGCCATTCTGGCTGTGGTAAATTTATTTTGCCCAGTTTTACCAGATGTTTATTCTGTAAAACCTAATCTACATTAACATAAACTAATGCATTAAATCTTCATTTCAGGCAATTATTTCTAACTTTCACTTTATTCCAGCAGATGGCACTACTTTCCCAATCAAACCAGGCAAAAACATCATATGTGCTATGCAGTTGAAATAAGAGCTTCTGTTGGGTACTGTATGTTAGATGGGGGGTGGGGGGGGGGGGGGGGGGGTGGGGGGGGGAAGCGGGGACTGCAATGATTTTGGGGAAATCATCCATCTCTGTTTTGTGATTTTGCTTTGTGAGATTAAAGCAATACACCCATTTGAGAATACATCAGCTTACCAGCACACACAGTAAGGCAACTAACTATAGTAGATGCAACATGCTAATTGGTTTGTTAAAGAAATATGCTAAGAAAATCTTAATGCCCTTACATTGCAAACATTATTGTGTTTTAGATGAATGTTTCTTTTAACTGGATCTTTGAGGTTTGATCTGATCCAACAAAAGCAAGTTATTTCTTGTATCAAGGGCTCTGGGCGTTTTAATTCAAAGATATACCTTTGATTTCCCACACTGGATGCTTGTAGGTTTTTATTTCCAACCAGTCATAGATACAACACGGCCATGTAGGTTGAATATTTTTTACATTTAATACAATAATACATGCCCTTGTAGATATTCATATAATTATGAGCTGGATATGCACATAACTGTCATTACAGAAGAAGGGATGCTGTTTAAAATTAAAAGCAAACCTGTCACAGTGAATTTCCACTAATTAGCATATTTTCCCCTAAATCACAACGTTAACAGTGAGAGTGATATACATGTTGCAGGAGTGCACAATAAAACCGCTCGGCCATCCAGTGTATTTCATTACCTGTTTTATCTCCCATCACCTGCCGCCGTAGCTAACGTCTGCCGTACCTCAGGTCTTGTGCATTAAAGCGTGGAAGTGTTCCCGCTTGACATTCAGGAGTGCAAAAGCAATTTGTGTAAAGCAAACCAGCAGACTCTTCAACTCTCAATTGTATTAGTAAGCACTTTCTCAGTGAAAAGGTGAACTAATAAAGCTTTTACATAGTTACATTAGCAAAAGCCTGATTACGCTCCACTAAATTGTGTCAGTTTTTTTCCTTCTTATGATGGATAACTAAAAATTAAATCCAGATATTGTTAAATAATGATTCTTGAAATCTTCTACTGAAAGAATAACTGTTTCAGCATAAACAGCACACATTCATGATTAAAAATGTACATTTAAAAACAGAAAGCCAAGAAACAAATAAAGTTACAGATAAAAAGACACATACTAGGAAAAACTAAAAGTCTGAAAGACGATCCACAGAGCGGCAAAGCAGTCAAAGCTAGGATATAACTGACACATGTTGATTAGCCATGCCGGTTTTACTTCACGTGAGTGATTATTCATTCCTAGGCTACAGATGTCAGCTATTTAATAGATAATATATATTTCTGGCTACTAAAGACGAGAGTACACATAGTTTACACAAAACACGACAGCAGCAGTTACATTTGGTGTCAGCACAGTCTGTTTTTCTGTTTGTGACATTCTGACCACCGGATTCAAGGGAAAAAATATGATGGATACATTTTGAACTGTTGGTGAAACAATGGTGTTAGAGCCAGTGTGCGAATTACTGCTTTGTTTTTATTCTGTGCCCCTACACAGACAGCATTTGCAGTATTTTTTTTTTTTTTAAGGTTAACCATTCTTTACCTTAGATAGTGTTACTCTGTTTTTCCTGATTGTTTTCTTGTTCCCCTATCACATTTGAAAAACGAAAGAAAATCGACGAGTGAATGAACAGAAGACTTTCTTTGGTCATAAAAGGGCAAAAGCAACTTCAGAAAACAACGAAAAAGACTTAATAATATGAATAAGAAAAAAATCCTTTTGCGAACAAAAGTTTGTCTTCCAGGACTGAAATCGGAAGACTTGTTGTGTCTCTGAGGTGCACACTTGGATTGCATGTAGCGAATGCATAGGAATAGCAGGAACTCTAGCGTGGACAGAGCTGGGGACCGGGGAAAGGAATTAGTCATTCATTGCTCTTCCGCTTCTGTTTCATCTCTTTAGTTGTCCTTGTTTTCATGGTAGCAGTGAAAGAGTTGGTAGAGTTGCTACTATAGATCACGGGCTGCTGATGCTTTCCCAGGTTAGTCCTGCCACTCAATGAGGACATCTTTGTGCTGCCCAGATCCTTCCACCACTGCTTGTCTGTAGGTGGAACCTTTATGCATGTGGGTCCTTCAGACAAAAAGAAAAGATAGAAATCAAGTTTTATTTGTAGTGAGAATTGGGGCTGGACCAGACAAATTACTTTTGGTTTGTTTTAATTGAGTTTCAGGGTTCTTAAGAATTTGGCTACTTTCTTGATTTTCTTTGTATCCTTTCGATGTCTATGCTACCCTATCTGTGTGGGTATTGGGAGCACTGGTATCCAGGATACATCTTTGAAAGATTACTTAGACTTAGACTTCTTTATTTGTCATTTTGTATGCACAGAGTGCATACAGAACGAAATTGCGTTACATACAGCTTATGAACGTTGCATTGATATTTCAAATGGCACAAGTCCATTTGTACATTAAAACTTTTAACCAAGTGTAATGTAAGGAATATAGAAGTTATTTTCTAACCTGCTGGAAATCGTTTTGGGCTGATGCGAAGTCTGAGGCCAGAGTAGGATCTCCTTGGGAAGTTGCTGTCCTTTCACACTCAACCACAGTTTTCTTTTCTGAGTCAGCGTTCTCTGGCCGTTTTGGCAGGAAGCCCTCACTTTTTAGAAATTTGACCTAGGTCAACATAAAACATTAATAGTATATTCACATTTATTAATTTATTCTTCATAATGCAATCTATGCATATATGGATATGACAATGATTGCGTACAGTAAAAGTGCTTTTCACTTTCAGATTTTTTTGTCAAACTTACATTTTTACTGCTGATTTTTTTTTTTTTACAGAAAAACAAGCCCTTAGTAGACAGAAATAGAAGATTTATATTTTGAATTCATGTGCTAAAGAGACAAGGCTAGTCAAAAGACAACCTTGCCCAAATAAAATAAAAATAAAAAAATCCACTGCTCAATATGCTCAATAAACCTTCTTACTTGTGTCACACAACAGCTGTAATCCTGTATTTGCATAACTAGTAATGGGTTTCTTACTAGGGCGAAATTATTTTGCCAAAAATCCAAATTGCGATTATTTTTAGCCAATACTGCGATTGTGATTTTATTGAGATTTTCCTTTGCACTAAACACAAGTATTTTTCATGACCTTGAAAGCCTGCTTGTCCACAAACCAGTGTTGCAGGACTTCACTGTTACATTTGCATGAAAAAAAGTTCTTACTTCTACTATAAAACATAGATAAAGGTGCTAGCTGCAACTCTCTGTTCCCTTTTGTGTGACAACATGCCCACTTTAATCATATTACTGTCAACTAAAGGGCTGGAAGAAGAAATTACTCTTATTAAATGTTGATTAAAAATGAAGTGCTTCTTCGATTTGAAAATGGCATTTTTCTAAATTGTGACTATATTGCAAATGCAATTAATTTCCAAGCCCTATATGTTACAAAGAAGGAACTTATTTTCCTTTTTTGGCACTAGGAACAATGTGAAGAAAGAAGGAAAGGAGTCATCCTGCAAAAGTTCCAAGCTCAGGAAGATTGCTCCTCTAAAGACTCTCAGCCTCTGTATACTTGACACCTGCCTCATCACTGCCCTGGCCTACTCCTTATTGAAGGACTTCTTTAATTCAGATACCTTAGAATATTGTGTAGCATAAATTTCTTTGGGGACATGTTACAAGTACAAACCTTCACTCAACCAAACTTCAATTTTGTTGTTTTTAAGCTACTCAGAGGTGAACTTGCTCATTCACTTTGAATCAAAGTCCCTTTGCATAACCGAAGTGCATTGGCCATCTCTGGAAGGGTCACCAACATATTGAGCCTTGCTGGAGTCTAACGTTTTAATAATAGTATTCAAGCTCCTTCAGAGCTAACAAATGTAAATGTGACTTGATTGTGACATGATTTTTATGTTTTAAAATCCTTTAACAAAAGTGCACTTCATGTTTAAGACATCATTAAAGGATTCCTTGATTTTATAGGTATTATGTCTAAAAATGGTAGATAAATTAAACTCTAGTTACCAATTAACATATTTATGAACTGGTAAACTGACCACACCAACTTCAACAAAACAAGATTTAATTAAAAAGCATGAATTTGATCAACTGTTATTCTTTAACCCTTGGCTGTGTATAGCCTGGCACATAAAACCATTGTAATCGTGGCAGTAGTCTTATTGTGGCCATAATAAGGCTGGTTTAGGCGCCTATTTCCCACAATGTAAGCAATCGTTGGCTTAAAACTACAAATATTGTGTGTTTATCTTTATCCAGCACTTAGAATTTTAAAATATAACCATAAAAAAACAGCAAAAAGGCAAGAAATCTAAAGGTAGAACCAAAACATTTTCAGATCGTTTCAAAAACTACTGAGAGTACATGTACCTCTGTATGGTCTCCATCGCTTTTAAGTACAGTCCGCTTTACCACTTTGGAGTAACCATCTCCGTCTGCTACGTTGAACTGCCCAGGAGAAGCTCCCTCTGGTGACCTCTGTTTATGCTGTACACCATCAACAGAAACACATTTGCGGACTACTTTTTGTGTAACCTGAGTGAAAAAAAAAGGCTTTGGTCAATCAATGTCATAAATTTAAGTTCAAAACGTTATACTCAAAAACTGGATTTCAATTTAAAACAGAGATTAGAGCATATAAAACCAGCTTTACCCGTTTGACAACTAAACGGCCATTTTCATCCCGATACTGTTCTTCAGTCACTGACTCAGTAGCGAGGTCAGATTCTTCAGCAACCTGTATGGGAGACAGAGGAAAGGACGATCAGGCATGGCAGTTCGGTTTAGAATGATATTTGATGTTTATGTTCATAAGAGAACTTTGGGAAATTAGGGAAACAGCAAAATAAAGCATTAAGAGTTGTATTATCAAATAGAATCAGCAAAGACATGCTAACAGCATCATAAACCCAACCCAAAACTTTCAGCCATCTGTGCACACAAAGTGAGTTTTAGTCCTCTAACACATTTCAGACATTCTGTACAGCAGAGAAAAACATCAAAGTCCAAGTTTCCATGCTAAGTCAGGGCACCGAGAGCCATGCTTATTCGGATACCTTAATGACAACCCTCCTTTTTAGTATTTTTGTGGTCAAAAACTCCTCATTTGAATTTTCTGATATTTGTTCAAACTCTGGAGACTTCCTTATCAAGGAATAAGGAAAGGAATAAGGAAAGTATAAGTTCACAACTGTTTTAGGGAAGTTCCTCTGTGTGAATACTCTGCTTGTGCATTAGAAACCTGGAGGTAGAGTAAAATAGCTTTTAAATGTGTTAGAGGTTACACAACAGAGCTCTTGTTAAAATAAATAAGAAATTTTTGAAAAGATTTAATGCTTAAAACATTTGAATGAATCTATATTGAGCTCTATAAGGAAAAATGTAATCACCTGGTAATAGTGCTAATTAACAGGTGACGTGACATGCTGAGCTAGGTTAAAATTAGTTAATTTTACATAAAATATATTTGGTTCATAACAATATCTTTATTCCTTTTTTCAAGCCAGAAGGTTAGCAGTTGGTTCCCCACAAAAACTTAGCTCTGAGGAAAAAGAAGTTAGTCTTTTTCATGCTCATCTTACCCTTTGTAGAGACTTATCAGTATAGTAATCTCCAAGAGGCTGTGAACTTTTGCACAGAGGGGGTTCTTCATCTAATGTCTCTGGATGCTGAAATGATCCTTTGCTATCTCATTGACTCTGGAGGTATGGCTCAGGAATCAAAGGGGCACTTTCTACTCTTCCTGCTTACCAACATAGCCAGCCTGATGCTGATTTGAGCTTTTTGAGCTACAAGGTGTCTGCAGTGCATTAAGTTCAGTCTCAGAGAAATCAGACATTCTTTCTTTGCAATCAGAGTAATGCTTCAAGTCAGAATATTCAAAATTTCAATTGTCCTGATGCAGCATGCCTCATTTGCAATCTCGGGAGGTGTGATGGTATAGGTCAGTGATGTGGAGGAGATCTCGGTACCTCCTTATGGGATAATGTACTCCTCATCAGAATCGGATGAAAAAATCTCTGGAAAGAAGGAGACTGAGGGGCAAAACAATCATTGACAACTGGAGCGCAGATTCTTTAGAGTGCTGTTGACAGACTCTTGATATATCCTCTTCAGAGGGCATTTCTCGCTTCTGGGGGAAGGGTAAGGTATCAGTACATCAAAGCTGTAATATTCTGCAATCAAAACCATTTCAGGAGTAAAATCAGGTGCACATTGGGAAAATATGCTTTTCAAAGAGGTTCCATTCCATAAACACTGATCTTACTAATTCTGGGGAGTTGCCTCTTTTCTCATGCCCCTTGACTCAGAAGATGGCAGAGCTAGACATTATCCTTCACCAATTGAGTGAGTAGTAACGGTAATGCCTGTGTTAAAAGCTATCCAATCTTTCTCCGGTATATCAGGCAATAAAGAAAATACACTATATTGCCAAAAGTATTTGCTCACCTGCCTTGACTCACATATGAGCTTAAGTGACATCCCGTTCCTAATCCATAGGGTTCAATATGACGTCGGTCCACCCTTTGCAGCTAGAACAGCTTCAACTCTTCTGGGAAGGCTGTCCACAAGGTTTAGGAGTGTGTTTATGGGAATTTTTGACCATTCTTCCAGAAGCGCATTTGTGAGGTCGCACACTGATGTTGGACGAGAAGGCCTGGCTCTCAGTCTCCGCTCTAATTCATCCCAAAGGTGTTCTATCGGGTTGAGGTCAGGACTCTGTGCAGGCCAGTCAAGTTCATCCACACCAGACTCTGTCATCCATGTCTTTATGGACCTTGCTTTGTGCACTGGTGCACAGTCATGTTGGAAGAGGAAGGGGCCAGCTCCAAACTGTTCCCACAAAGTTGGGAGCATGGAATTGTCCAAAATGTCTTGGTATGCTGAAGCATTCAGAGTTCCTTTCACTGGAACTAAGGGGCCAAGCCCAGCTCCTGAAAAACAACCCCACACCATAATCCCCCCTCCACCAAACTTTACACTTGGCACAATGCAGTCAGACAAGTACCGTTCTCCTGGCAACCGCCAAACCCAGACCCGTCCATCAGATTGCCAGATGGAGAAGCGCGATTCGTCACTCCAGAGAACGCGTCTCCACTGCTCTAGAGTCCAGTGGCGGCGTGCTTTACACCACCGCATCCGACGCTTTGCATTGCACTTGGTGATGTATGGCTTGGATGCAGCTGCTCGACCATGGAAACCCATTCCATGAAGCTCTCTGCGCACTGTTCTATAGCTAATCTGAAGGCCACATGAAGTTTGGAGGTCTGTAGTGATTGACTCTGCAGAAAGTTGGCGACCTCTTCGCACTATGCGCGTCAGCATCCGCTGACCCCGCTCCGTCAGTTTACGTGGCCTACCACTTCGTGGCTGAGTTGCTGTCGTTCCCAAACACTTCCATTTTCTTATAATACAGCTGACAGTTGACTGTGGAATATTTAGGAGCGAGGAAATTTCACGACTGGATTTGTTGCACAGGTGGCATCCTATCACAGTTCCACGCTGGAATTCACTGAGCTCCTGAGAGCGACCCATTCTTTCACAAATGTTTGTAAAAACAGTCTGCATGCCTAGGTGCTTGAATTTATACACCTGTGGCCATGGAAGTGATTGGAACACCTGATTCCAATAATTTGGATGGGTGAGCAAATACTTTTGGCAATATAGTGTATTTCAGTAACGCTCTAAACACTTGCATGGGATTGATATTGGTGATATTTCAGTTTCCCCATCAAATACTATTATAAGTTTAGGTCTTGAAAGGGAATGGTCAAGGTTTGATTTAGAAGCTCTTTTCATGCCAGGAGAGTCTTCTGCATTTGCTCTACCTTTTGTAAGTGGTGTAACAGTTAACATACCGACTTTATCCTCCTCTTTGGGTGAGAGTTCTTCATACATGTAAGCTTTTTGCTTTTCAGTGGTATCATCAGAGGACACTGATGCATGTGAATCAAATGTTTCTGCTTAGAACTTGAATTTAATTTCCCCCTAAATTGGACAGGATGTGATTAAACTGAGTAGATCCAGATTTCTGCAGTGTGGGACTGGAGTGTAAGGACTTGATGACGAGCACATTACAATTACCCAGTGTTTGTGGCGCCATAAAATCTCATTCCAAATATTCATATTGTGACTGTGGAAAGCTACTTTGGTTGGTGAATTTAATCTCTTATTTAATGTTAACTCTGACCAACAAGGGCGCTATAGAGGATCCTATTAATGTTCCATTTACATTATCTGTTTTTAATAGTTTCTCAGCTTGAAAGCCCTGAATCCTGTTCTGTTTTAAGGACTGAGAAATATTGCTCTCGGAAGTTGAAGATGATATCTGAAAGAGATAATATATTTTAATGGAAAAAGAAATACAAAAAAAAAAAAAATTTGGAGATGTTCTTTGTGTTTCAAAACATAAGAGTAAAGTCTTAGTTAAATGTGTGTTTGTGGCCTGGATATTTATTGGGCTTGTTAAATAATTTCTCCAACAAAGAAAAGATCTTGTGGCTTAATGATGCCTTTGTACAGGCAGGCATCTTGCATAACTTTTTTTTTTTTTCAGATTGTGTGATTAATTGCAGTATGATAGATGGACACTCCATAGTTTAAGCAGAAAAACATTATCACCTGGGGTAAAAACATGCATTTTATTATAAAGGAAGGGCACAAACAAATTGAATTCAAAAATGGAATCCAGCATGTAACGATTGGGCTAATTGGTTTCTTCCACACTTATCAGAGATGATAGTTTTCCCAGATGCTTAACATGTACAAAACATATACAAAAATAAAATGCAGCTTTTAAACAATCAGGACTGTCTTTTTAGGTTCAGGTACTCTTAAACAGAGAAAAAAAATGGATCCTTTCCAACCAACAGTTATACCTCTTAACTAACACACATACTCAGATTTATATCAAGCTGAATAACGTCAAACCAGAGGCACCAACAAACAATTATCAACAAACAATTCATAATTTCTGCATCTTGATGAAAAATTTTAGATAGTAAAAAATTGTAAGTGGAGAGGTATGCCTGATTTATACTGATAGAATATAAAATTGAAGCTCACCTCATTGTCGTCACACCATGAGGGTTTTTATTAGCTTAACTATATTGGAAAATCACTTTGACAGCTTACCAGCAAACATGCAGGATTAAGGCAATAAAGCCTAACTTGTTCAAAGTCTAAGAAGAATTAATAGTCAGAATTTTTATATTGCCACATTTAAAAAATAAATGAAATCAACAATGCAAATCAGTACAACTGAAATCAGCACAAGCAAGATTTTGTGTTTTCTAACAAAGATCAAGGAACCTTTTTTTTTCCTTAAATACAGAACTCCCTTGAGAAGAAATCTTGAGGATGCTTTTTTCTTTAAATCTCACTTTGTATTTTTTTTTTGTTCATGTACATCTAAGCCAGCATGAGGAAACCATTCTCTTACTTTTCCAAATGGCATTTGACTCAACCTGATACTAAGGTAACTACTGATACATTGTGACAATTATGCCAAGCTAAGAAGTTAACAGAAATACCATAAAATATAACCTAAATAATAGAGTTGTTATAACCAACATTGTTTGCATGCAGCAAATGACAGCCCCTTTGTGGCTTTGTGGTAATCAACAATGTTTTAATAGCAAGAAATGAACTGGACAAATGACTCCCCCAATCACAGAATTTAAAATTGAGTTGGGTTTTCTTCATGGGACTGGAATAATAGCTAAAAGCTGATATAAAAAAAAAAAAAAAAAAAAAACGGATCAAGAGCGGCAACAGATGCAACTCAATTAAAGGTGTCAGTTTATGGAAAAATCTGTACAATGAAAATAAATCTATTTATTTTTCTTCATTCTGAAAATCATGATTTCTGTTGTTTTGTGTTTTTGAATTGTGTCTGCAAAATCTTAAGGGATGAATATTACCTATTCATCCCTTAAGACTTTTGCAGACAGGATAGGGGATAGATTTAATTATGCTCTTCTTTCTGATCTTTTGTAATCATAATTTCTTATCGTTGTCAAAAGTTCATATCCATCTGTACTATACTGTAACAGTTTAATGCGATATTCTTTAAAAGTTCTGTGATGCACTAAATTAAAATTTAGTGCATCACAGAACTTTTTTTTCAAATGGGTGATCTGGAGTCCATGTCACTGTGCAGGATTAACAGCTCAGAGTGAAATCCTCAACTCTGAGTTGATTTAGCGTAAGGTTGGAAACTCTGACTTTCAATTTTCACCACAGCCGCTGTGATTTTATTTAATCAACACTCCACTTAGA